CACACACACACACACACACACACAGAATAGGCCCTGAGGCATTTCCTTCCCCTTCACTGAGAGGAGCTGTCTTTGTGCAATCGAAGCACAGCGAGGATACAGTGACACTCTCTATCATCGAGTCCTCTCAGCTCCTGGGCTCTCTGACTCTCTGGAGTCGCCTCTTTGTTATAACAGACTGTATCTTGACACAGCAGATGGTGGACGATGTGCACTCGTACCTACAGAGAGGGTTGGGTTTCTTAAATTGGTTATGGAACAGCGACCACGTCTGCGAAGTAACACCAATGAAGCCGTAACCTGAGCTTCATTGTAGTGGTCCCGGTGGACAGGAGGCTTTTATTGGAGACTGTCCCACGCCCCACACACACATACATGCACAGCTTATGCACAATGGCAATACCCCTATTTCACTCTCACTTCAAATCCTGCCTTCCTGTCAGCCTATTACATTCCCACTCTCCTTCAAGTTCTGTGTGTTTGTGCCTCTTCCTGTCCGGTCACATGGGATGGTTTAGGAGTGACATCATTGGAAGTCATGGGGGGGTTGAGCGTGGGATGTCATTGCTTTGTGGTGGTCACGGTTTGTCTGAGACCCAGTGTTCCTGTCTTTACATCAAACTATAGACTATAGACTCTACATAAAGATCCTTGATACAATATATAATCCTTTTATAAAATCTATGCTATAGAACTAGAAGATAGAAAAACTGAAATCACACAAATAAAGGATTTGTAGAGATAGTCTGAATGTTTGTTATTGAAATAATGGTTGTGTTGTTTGCTTTTTGAAAATGTATAACAGGGTTTTACAATGACAGTAATAAGACTGATCCCACTGTTTTCTGCACAAATGTGTGTGGCCGTGTGTCCTTAGTGTGTGAGTGAGTAGGAAGAGAAAATGGAGAGCCAGTGGAAGAGGGCGCAGCGCAGCTGTGCACAAAGAGGCTGTTGATTCCCCACATCTCAGCCTGTCTCCTTTTCTGAATCCTGCACGTTATATGTGTTCATCATGTGGAGCTGCAGCAGGTGTCCAGCTCTGAGCACAAACAGATCCTTTATCATCCTGCTTCTTGCTCGATCACTTATCCATGTCTCTGTAGGTTTTACATAATTGCGTTACCAATATTTAAGTTTCTGCGAAGCAAATGATGAATCCAAGGTTAATGTTTCCAAAACTGCTGCTGCCATCTTTGATATTGAGTTTTATAGAATCAAATAATTACTTAAAACAAATCATACTAGAAAAATAAGCACTTATACATACATCAGTGCAAGAACTAGCTAAAATGTCAGAAGCCATCTTTGATATTTAGTTTCAACCTGTTCTTATAGCATCAAATAATTACTTAAAACAAAACTGACGGAAAAATATACACTTTATCAGACGTCAGTGTAATAACTTCCTAAAATGTCAGAAACCACCTTTTGGAAAAAATCATCCATCCACTAAATATCCAGTATTATGACCTATAGTGCTGCCAGCCACCAGGGGGCAGTCCAGATGACTTGGCTTCACTTTTAGGAAGCTGCCATGTCATCCATCTTTATAAAGGCTACAGTCTAGTCTGAAAAAATGGTCTGAATCTGAATCTTGATAACTCATCACTGCAGTTTGTTTCTGTTTCATTAATGTTCTGTTACTGATCAAACTCATTCAACTTTACTTTCATCCCAAGCCTACAAGGCAAGACAGTTTTATTTATACACAGCACATAGGGATGGATTCCAGGTACAAGGCCTGTATGCCCGAATAGGTCTCCCACAGTCTAAAGTAATATAGTTGTGTTTTCAAATGTAAACAAATTGAAAGTTGACCTCTAGAAGAAGTCTGCATTTTGTCTTCTTTTCCTTTGAGAGGCATGTCTTAACTCCAATGACTGAGTGGCTTTGGTATTTCCCAACAGCTGGAGCAGAGCCCTGGGAAATGTCACACAGCTGCCAAAGTTGTTTGTCATCCAGTTAGCAAGGAGATTCTGGCTTTAAGGGTCGAGGGGCGGGACTGCGTGAAATCACAGAATTTTGTTTTCATCACACAGAGAGTGTCAATCATCTGGCATTTTTAATTCTGGTGCAATTTGATGTCACATGTCCCTGGTGTGCAGTGATTGCACAGTAAATCCTGCCAGTTCTATGAGCTCACTGTTTATCTTCCTCATGACCGTGTCGTCCAGCTTAATGGTTAATCTCTGCACTGACAGGTGGCAGAGCATCAGGTGCGGCTGGCAGCTCCGGCCGTAAGAGGCTCCACAGAAGACCGGGGTACATGAGAGGAGAGCAGTCCAGACTACAGCACACGCCTCATGGTCAGGAGGAGGAGAAGGAGGAAGGGAGGACCACTTGCTTGAGGAACGGAAAATCTGGGCGTCACCCTGACCTCACTGAAGCCACCAGCACACAGAGGATGAGTCTAACACCTGCTGTCCAAGTGTCCTTAATAAATCAGCAGCAGCCTGATAAACTCACATGTAGCTCCAGGAAGAGTAAGAGCGTTATCTGCTCTGTTACCCATCCTCTGCCTCATGAGGACTGCACTGCCATCAACGGTACATCCAGCCATCAGGGTCCGTCCCCACTGCCGCAGAGGGATCTCTGGTTAAAATCAACCTCCGCACTACAGTCCTCGGACTCCTTTAACTCAAGCTTCAGTTTCATCCGACAATCGCTCGACTCAAGCCAGAGAATGGACACAACCACTGCTCAACCAGCCCGGGAACGACAACCACTCAATCAGTCAACTAAAGCACCTAGTTCACCTCAAACGAAACCAGAGAGCTTCCCTGCTGATGTCTCCAAGCACTCCACTACTGGCCAATCGCCACCCTCCTGCACTCTCTGCAGCCAGGCCGAGGGAGAGGAGCTGTTGTCAGAAGGGAGGTTTTGGCGGGAATGTATGTGGGATGGCAGGGAGGCCTTGTCCGACCTGCATGACTGCGACTGCCGATCTCTGGACATAGAGCTAACCTCCTCGCTGTCTGTGGACTCGGACACGGCGTCCGCCTCCTCTGTCACCTCAGGCTATGAGAGCGCCACGCCCGCCTCCGACCAAGGCTGGGACAACCTGGTGAAGAAGTACGAGGTGGTGCTGCAAGACTGCCTCCAAAACAACCGCACACACACCAAGGTGGGTCTCTGATATCAATCATGACCTTTCACCTCATTCTTACAACAAATAACATATTAAAATCAAACTTATCAGAAAGATTATCACTTGGACATACATCATGTGATAAGAATGACCTTAAATGACAGACACCATCATTGAGAAAAAAACAATTTCATGTGTCCTTTTTTATGTTTGGTCCATGTCCTATCCACTAACATGGAGGAAGCGGTTAGCTATACTGCAGTCATCCACCAGGGGGCAATCCAGATGATTTTGTGTCATCCATCTATTTATACAGTCTATGGGACCATTCTTACCCACTATCTATGAAATTAAGTTTTTTTATTAAAGGTATTATTCATTATAGAATTTCATCAGTACCTGAGTTTTGAAATCATTTAATTTAATTAACACTTCATAGGCTGTATTATAATGTATTACCACATCATTTATGTTGCAGAAATGTTTTGTCTGTAATCTTTTTTCATTTGGGACATCTCTGAGAATGCACAAGAGTTAACACACTAAAATAAACAAGCAAAGTCTTTGAAATTGTATGTGACAGACAAAAGTTGAACAAAGTAATGTTTAGTTCTGATGGTGGTTTTAAAAATGCATACGCTGTCCATAACTTGCTGACCTTGGTGTCACTCTGACATGACGGGTTTTGCACCCAAACATGTTTTGAGTTTTTTTTAGCCTGTGGCCACTGTTTAAAGAGCATCGCACTTTGGACTGTTGGGTAATGTGTTCTGTCTTCTGTCCGTTGTGTCTCCCTGTCAGATTGAATCCATGATGTTGAAGCTGCAGAGACTCCAGCAGAAGGCTATTTTGGATGATGACTATGACGCAGGTGAACTAAGACTTTGAGCTGAGCCTCTGGTTTAATAAGTAGGTCATTTCATATGATGAGATGCTGTAGCTGTGGATTAATTGAACAGCACCAATGTCTCCCATGTTTTCCTTTCCTTAATTTTTTGAATAATTTTTACACATTCATTGCTTTTATTTCATTCTGAATCAAGAACATGCATTATATATGTTATCTTACATGTTTCAACAGGAGGATGAACTGAGAGTTGCAAAGTTGATATAAAAGCTGTAGCAGCCTCACATTATTTCCATGGGATTCTAACCCTCAATTATCCTGAGGTTTCACTCATGATTTGAGTCTTTGATTCAGTCACGATTTGACCTTTGTGTTTAAGATGGTGGAAGAAGTAATTTGCTTTTATTGGATATCTCGCTAACTGATTTAGAGTTGGATTATGTTGAAATATGTGATAAAAGCATGTGAGGGCAGAAGACCAAGGATTGATTAGCACAGAAGAAATGGGTCGTTGTTCACTGATTCATGACACACAAACCACACCCAGTACCACATGGAAACTTACTGCAGACTTTAGTGACATATATTGAAACTTCCCAGTGAAATATAACTAACCAGAAGGTTTTGATTTCATTTTCTATTTTCGTCAAATTTTTGCATTGGGGGTATTACCATTATCCTCCAAATAATATCATTGTTTGGAGAGGTGATGCTTTATTAGCTGAATCTGTATTGGCTAAAGGGTTGAATAGTCTGATCTCGCTTCTCTCGCTTTGTGTCTGTATCTAAAAGTGTGGAACTCGTCAGTCAGCCATGTCAAACTCAGCCTCAGAAACCAATGAATGTTGCAGAGAGCAGGTAAAGCTAAATCAAACATTCATTTATGTATTAGAAAAACCTTGAGGCTTATTGAGCTTTGTGGACAACGATTCATGTTCCATCATTCACTCTTATTTGATGATTTAACCCGAGAGGAGAGACCCAGCCACTCCTCAAACCAAACAAATTTAATCTGGACTCTTTTTACATCAATGTCCAGGAGCAACCACATTCATTTAAAATCCGACTTGACCCGCTTTTTCCATTAGTTGGCCAGAGGAAAGTTTATTTTCAAAACAAGATTATATTCTGACCCATTTCTCGAGCCTTGTGACAGGAATAAATACGAACATCTGCTGTCGAGTTCCTGAAGACCTTGAACTATTTTGGCGCGTGATTCTATGTGGGTCAGTGTGTCTTGTCAGGTGTTCTCTGTTTGTCTTTTGATAGTATACATCACAAACCCCCTCTCTGACATTTTGAACTGTATCAGAGAAGTTCAGCTGTTTCCCACCATCGGTAATTGAAAAATGTCTGTCAGCAGGATGCCTGAAAAACATAAGAACGGATTTCTGCGAAATAGACTGAGACAGATGATTAGATTTTCTTTCTGATCATTATCTGGATGTTTTACCCCCAGATTCTTTTACTCTTTTACTTTTACCATGACACCACAAGAGAGGGGTCATTCATTCAAAACAGGGTCAAATAACATGAGGGTTTGAGAATGAACAATGTCTTGTCTGCTTACTCTCTGTAAATCCTTCTAGTGAGAGCTAATTAGGTAATTGAATAAGGAATGATGTGTGTAGTCATGTTATTTCAGTGAATGCAGCCTGGTAATTTGCTCTCTGCACAGCAGTATCTACATGAAGTTTCTACATCAACTCTCTGACTTGCTGTGCTGAACTTTTTGTCTTGCACTTGATGCTGCATGTTCATCGGAGGATTTGTGTTTGTGTGAATCTACAGCCGAGCGTTTTGGGAAAAAACTGGAGGAGCTGTGCAGTGAGCGGGGAGCTCTGCAGCTGGGTTTACCCTCCAGACAAACCAGCGTGGCTCTGTTCCTGGAGCGGCTCAGACAAGTGGTGCACAGCGCCCTCCAGAGGGCAGACTGCAGCCAGCACAGGTCAGTCTCGCAGGCAGTAGTGATTCCACGACGCCTCTCTAGTGCACACACAACTCACACTGGTCACATTAAAAAAAAAAAGCATTGTTATTCGGATATTATTCTCATCGGATTGATGAGGTTAAAACTGTGATAGATTTTGATATTGGAGTGTGATATTATCATTTAATTTGATAACTAAGAACATTTACTGAGGCACATACTTGCGCTCTGCTACAAATCAGAATCAAATATTGTTCTCTTTACTCACCTGTATTTTTTCGATATTTTTATTTAGATGCTGGGAAGTAGAAGGATACTTTCAATATCAAAACAGATTTAATTTTTTGTCAGATATCACAGAGAGAAATGGTCACATCAGAGAAGCTGGAATCAATTAATGATCATCAAAATCCAAATATAATCCAATACATTTTCTCTGGATTGACTAATTAATGCATCGACTAATCATTGCAGTTGTACATTAAAGTAATACAAACACTAATTCAATGAATCACAATCCACTATTATAATATACATCTTTCTGAAACAACTCATTCTGCATTATTAGTAGTTTTAATTGGGCACTATATGTCTATTTGGATTTAAGGTCTTTTGTAAATTTGTTTTCATAAGTAAAATATATGACACCATCTTCTACCGAGTGATGATATTTCCAGCACAGTGAATGATACTATGAAAATTGTTTCATCTTATTTTATGAAAGATTTTATTTGCTACTGGTTTCCACTTCTATCATTTAATCACAATCCGATTACATGGGGCATTGCAGTACAGAAGTCAACACGTTGCTAGCTCTTGTTATAATTTGTTTTTTCAAAGATTTCTGAGGGTAAACTGAATTTATGTTCCCCCATTGTGACGGAGCAGTCAGGGAGGGGATTTCAAAAATAGCTCCTGTAACAGGAAGGGAATCAGGTGGGGTCCCTCCAGAGGGTATCCTGAACAAATATAACCTAAAGCTCACACAGTAAAGTTGTGTTAATGTGTTTCCTCTTCATACCTGTATCTCACTCACAAAGGGGGCGTGAAATCTGGATGTAAGGTGTGTTAAATACAGTTTAGAGAAGTCATGATACAAAAAAAAATGGAGACACCAGAGACTGTATTTTTGTTGCACATCGGCAGGGAGGGTGCAGAACCTGACGGGGGGGAGCGGTGTGACTCATCCCAGGGTCAGCTGCTTCAAAGAGATCGTCTGATCCGAGAGAAACGGATGGTGGAGGTAAATTCAGCTCACGTTATGTCACAGGAGCTGACGATGGTCTCTGCATTTTCCTTCTTCACACATGAAAAGTTACTGACATTTCTAAAATACTCAGAGTTGCCAATAGCTCAACAGTGAAGTGGCGAATCTCATTATTAATACTCATAATACAAATCTTATATTGCTACATTATAATACTGATAAATGGTAATTTATAGAAAGATGTGTGCCATTTGTCACTTCAGTTTCTGCTCTTACATATATGAGCTAAATCTACTGATTTAGATTATTAAAGTGTCATCTCATTTGATTTATTATGATCTTAAGTAGCTTCATACAAATCATACAAGTGAATGAGAGTGTTGAAACCTGTGCAGGAGGAGATGGCCGAGCTGCAGCAGAGGCTGGCGGAGCTGAGGGACCGCAGTCAATGTCTGGAGGAGCAGATCCAGCAGGAGGAGCAGCAGGTGGAGGCTGAGGAGCTGGAGGGCTCCGTGCTGAGGAGCTGCACCGTGGCCCAGCTCTGCGACATGAGCCAAACACTGCAGGACCTCGTCACATCCGAAAACCGCCTGCAGATTTCCGTCTCCCTGCCACCTTCCACACTAAGGTCAGCGTCAAAGACATGTTGAATAATTGACCAGAGTTTTTTCTCTAGTTGTGTTCTTATAGACTTGATTACATGTTTGCTTACCTGCTAGCTAAACATTTATCTTGGCAAAAAATGTACAAGCACATACCAAAGTCTGTCTGATCCGGTTTAGCCTGTTTTTCTCATTATTTCTGAAATATCATGCCCCCTTAAAAAACACCAGGTCGTTACACCACACTACTTTATTACGGGAAATGAACTCTCACCATTTTTGTGTGACCAGTGCATGAAAACAGTTCAATCCCAGTGAAGAAACAAACACATTTATGGCAAAGTCACTCATTCTGTTTGCTCCTGCTGTGCAGAGTCCAGCGTAGCTGACAAAATGTGCAAATGTATGTAGAAAATGGAAATGTGTCCTGGAGCGAAGAAACATTTTCACACTTTATACATTTGCATTTTACACCTGCTTGATGTTGTATCACTGGAGTCAAACTTGCCTGAACACTACCCCACTGTGACAATATTTTATCAGACCCTCACATGCGTGACCTTCACTCACTGGCAATTTGATTTGGTAAAACGTTGCACACATATTACTTTTGATGTTTTGGTTGTCATATATTTTGTAGAATTTATACAGCATGGTAAAGTATCATACTAATATGAATCATACGGGAAACAAATAACCATCATTATTGCTCACAGTCTTGCTCAGGGACATTTTGACTGTCCCTGTTGCATCTCAGTCATGTATTCTTCAGGGGCTGCATTAACTGAGAACAGAGTTAACCTTTGACCTCCACCAGGGATGTGATGTTTTTATCTGTTTGTCATGGGGGCCGGATCCACAGATTTTTTCCCCCACTTTCTTTAATATTGCCACACAGAGCGTTCTTCTGCATAAGCCATATTCATTCACCCCTAACTGGTGCAATAGTTCCTGCAGTACCACTGTGCAGCAGGTGGTGCTGCAAGAGAGCTGTGAGATATAGGTGATGACACTACAACAGTGATCAATCTGAGCATGATCTTCCTCCCAGTGTCATGTCACGTATTTCCTTATCATTAGAGGAAGAGGATGTGTGCAGACGATCTGTTTCACTGAATCATCATTTATCCTCCGATTAACAAAGTGGTATCCTTAATAGAACTTATATTATGAATATATCGTACAGCACCACTGTCCTATCTTTATCCAAGAAAGTTTAACTGAGTCACGTTTATTTCAAATCAACATTTAAAATACAGTCAGTGTTACATACTGAATATATGGTGTTATCACAATCCAGAAATAGTGAAAATTGCACACGCTTTTGGAGGTTTGGGAGAGAGCACATGCAACTCTGATGGACACTGGCTGCATTATTCTGTAGTTTATTTTTAGACAAACGTGCCCCCCAGTTGAATGTAATGTGATATACTAATTTATTCAACTTAAAGAGGAACAATTTGTTTATTTGCAGATTCAGAGAGGGTACATCGAGGAGCCACACTCCACTCATCCCCTGTGCCCTCGATCCTCTTCTCTTACACCTGCCTGAACCTGCTTTGAATTTTAATGGTTTTTCTCTCAGATGCAAATGATTACTTTGCATCACCTCCTCTGAAGTTAATAGCCTGCGAGGGTGCACCTCGAAAAGCCTCTATGTCTTGCCACTCGTTAGGAAGACATGGAAATTGTACTTATCGCCTTCTCTGTGGCGTGACCCACCATCACTAGCATAATTTGATATCTGGCATATTCTCACCCCGAGTGGAACGCATTTATTCTGGCTGCTGATTGAAACTGCGACCTCAGATTGGATATTCAGCCGCAGCACATCTCCAGGCGGCTTGCTCCGGGGTCATTGTGATGATTGTGCTGCAGCTCTCTTTCCAAATATCACAGGGGCTTTTCTCTCTCGTGTTGAGGTGCATTTTCTTGTAGTTACCGGATGAAAGAAATCCTCACTTTCCAGAGGAGGCGAATCGCCACAGAAACAGGTGTCGAACACTGATGTTCAGAGCCAACGTTTTACTCTGACTTACCCTGAACATCCCCTTGAATAACATGTAAAGGGCAGACGGAATTTTATGATATGAGACAACTGGGACTGTCTCAAGGTGACTGTGTTGTGCTTAATGGATTTTATGCTCTTTTCCCCCCCTCATCTATGAATTGATTTATATCTCTGTCAACAAATAATGTGACCTTAATGGTTTGTCCTGTTTGCTTGTTTACATTACCATGATTACACTTGAACTGAACTATTCATCTCCACAGTTAAATCTAATGAGCCAGTCAATGAAAACAAATGAAACGGTATCTTCTGTTTTTCTTATCATGGACGCTGCTGTAGAGGTTGTTATTATTATAAGAATAATGAAGCCTTTAGATTTAAATTAAATTTCATCAAAATGAAATGTGGAAATAAGAAAGAAAATGAACTTAGGCTTGCGGTTGTATAACCTGTCTATAAAATGACTCAATGTAGAGTTATTTTTCTCTTCTCACAGACTTTCTGCAAATAACTGGTTAATTTATAAGTTTCATATGTAAACGACCAACTCAATCTTTGCACACTAGTTAGACAGCATGTTGGACAGATCCACTTTTCTCCTCTAAATTAAAGTTTCGTCCATTTTTCACATGCAAAGGTTAAATAACTGATCTCAGTTGAGCTCACCGGGATCTTTTTTGACAACATATTTCTCTGTACCATATTCACTTTTTATTATTGTGAAAATACATGGTTTTAGTTTCGCTCAGATATTGTACACCCACTGTGCTTCACTTTTGGGGAAACACAGCTTCTCTATTTCCATCGTAAAAAACCCTCCAAAAACCCCCAAAACATTTTATATTAGAAATGAAAGTGTGGAGCTCACTATAAACTGTCTGATGTGAATTATGCATGTTTACAACAGTTTGTCCTACTTTGTGACCAACAAGATATTTAATCCTATAAATTTTGAATTTGTCACCAAGGATGCTTAATTCTCAACAAAGCTAAAACTGTTGAATTCATCACTGTTTAATTGACAGAAAATGAACCAGCAGTGATGAACTTATGGAATCTTCTCTGCTCTGAGTGGCTCTCACAGTGTTTCTCTTGGCTGCTGGTTGCAGTGAAAAACCTCAGTGTTCACTGAGTTGGATGGTGAACACTGTGGACCATATTTTGCCTCTGGGCCACTGTTAAACCCCACAATTATGTGGCCCACCACCAGTGATACAAATCAAGATCAGAAAGTCGATAAAACAGCAGAACCATGGGATTTATTTTCATCAAACGACACAATACACACAATGTTAAAATCCCCTGTTGAGGCCCAGCAGTCCCAACACTGGAAGCCTCCGCTCTGATGCAGACACAGGAGTTTTTAAAGGCCAGGTGCACCTCATTCAACCGATTGGTTCAATCAGGCTGGAGCTAGAGGAGAGACAGGAGAAAAACAGGGACACAGCACAGGAAACACATACAGCCATAACAGCCACAAACATGACACCAAATGAATCACAGTGTTTCTCTGGATCAGCTGTGCATCTGCTGGATGAGTAAATCAAATAAAAATAAATAAATAAATAAACAAGTGCTGGTCAACAGGTTTGACACATACATTTAAAAGATGATGATAAATCATTGCTGCGTTTCTGCTGCCCTCAAGTGGCCAAAAATCAGTTATTTCATTTTTTTGCTGCTGTTATCAATATTTTTGTTATAGCAGTAGATCAGATGTGATCAGATTCTTAATGTGGAAGTGTCTTTCGTGATCAGAGCAGAGACCATTATTATATAATCTATAATTATCATGGGACTCAGTTTGTTTTAGTGTCTTTTAGCTAATTGTTTTGGATGTTTGACCTGCAAATATGCTGTTTCATCCTCAGATGGCCAACAGTGTTGACATTATTGACTTTATAGGTTTTTAGCAATTTAAGCAAACATGCAAAGATTCATGATTAACAGTCCCATCTTCCAGGTTGGGTCCCAGTGGAAATAGTTTTCCTTTTCTTTGATATATTTATTTTATATGCAGTTACAAACCTGTCATTCTTTTATTCTTATTACTCGATGTTTTTTGATGTTTTTGCTGCTGTGGTTGCAAGGATGTAGAACTATCGGCTTTGTCAGTTCTCTTCTTTTCCCACTAGACTAGATTTTATTTTCTGTATAAAAGTTAAACTCAGTATTTCTTGATTGTGTGCTTTGCAGCTAGATGGAAAAAATGTCCCTAAAAGAAAGAAATGACTTCTAGTGCTGAACTGAATCATTTTCTATCTATTTCATTTTTTTGCAGGCTGCAGGAGCAGGAGCAGGCATTGAATCTGTCCATCAAGGAAGCCACTGCTAAAGTAAGCCACCGCTCCTCTGACCCAATTTACCTCACAACAGCTCAGCCTCGCCTCAGGATGCCAGCAATGATTGAAAGATTTTGAATATCAAAGGAGTAGTCGGTCAGAACAGGAAGGATGTGTTGTTTGCCAGCTTTATTGTGTTAAATGTGCCAACGAAATGTTAAAGTTTGAACTCACGGGCTGATATCTGTTTGATAAAAGCCAGTGAACTCTCTGCAGATGTCGGCAGAAATGGCTGGAGATTGTATTTGGACTAAATCCTCCATAAAATCCTCAGTAAAACAATTCAACTTTTTATTTTCCCTGCATCTCTAAAGAAAAATAATTAAAGTTGTGAATTTGGTGGGTTTTCTGTGCATCCCATGTGTGAATTGCTTAGTGTGCTTCAAATGTGCCGTGTCTCTGGAGGTTCCTCTTGCTTCTCAGGGTTTAGGTTTTCCTTCTATGTGTACGTTCTGTAGATCTCTGCAGCAGAAGCAGAAGAAATCTGTGAGAGGTGCTGCTTTAAGGACAAACAGTGAGAGAGAGAGAGAGAGACACAGGGGGCACAGCAGGGGGCACAGGACTCTGTGAAGACATTTTTACTCTTACTATGTTCTTTAGAAAGAAATCATCAAATGTTTGGTTCATGCTACGACTTCAGTTCAGAGGAATATATAGGCTTTGTAAATGAGTTTAGTAATATTGTGGCTTTGTGTCTGAATATATATATATATATATTAAAGCTTTCTATATGGATATAAGAATTAAATATAAACATATGAATGTATAAATATAAAGGCTTTTTATATGAGTAAAGGAATTATAAGAACACAGGAATATATATATATATAAACTCATTGCATTGACATGTTTTCCACAGTCCTAAGTTTGTCCATTGTTCAGTTGAAATGAAACTTTCTGTTGCTAAATGAGATATCCACCATGTGGAAAATGGAACACCTGCTGTGACAAAACGATCGCTGCCATGAAAGAAACTTTCAGTCTCTCTATTGACTTTTTCAAAACCGACAAATGGCCAGATGTTTTGAAATCAAATCACCTCATGTCAGGATTTCTACAGTTTGAAAAGCAGCTTCGAGTCCATGTAACGTGTGAAATGAAAATTATGCAAGGCTGTTTGAGCGAACCGTTGTCTGTATTTCTGGGGAAGAAAAACTCCCTGGAGATGTTCTGCCTCAGAAATATCAACCTATTTGACAGCCTTTTCAAAGTGTTGCACAAAAGTGTGTCAGATTCGACGAGAATATGCGTCAGATATTCCGGCTGCACATCCCTTTGAACAGTGAAAATAGTTCCTCAAAAGAAGGAAGCTCATCATGGGGATTGTATCTGGCCGCAGTTCAAAGTGAATACATTAGAAAGAAGAGAGGTGTAAAGGGCAGGATGAGGGCAGATGGGGCCAGACATGTTGTATCTGAAGCCATCAACCCCTCTGTGAAAGCTGCAGATCTGAGGTGCTGCCTCCCCATCAGGACCGTGACATTCAGGGCCTTTTTCCTCGCTGACATTCTAATGGCATACTTTATGGAGATTTCACATTTCACTGTCTGTCCGCTCAAAAAGGAGACATACTCTTTTTCTTTGTAAAGGTTATCGACAAGGTAACACGTTGACGTTGATGCCCTGGTGTGTATTCAACACAGGGCCAGAAGGACTGAAATGAATCTGTAAGGTCTTGTAAGAATGGAAATGAAAGCAGAATTGGAAATGAGCAATGCCTCCTGTGGGATCCATGTGTCTGCAAAGGTTTTGCTAGTTACCACCCTCCCCTCCCTTCCTCTCGCTCTCTCCTCTGCCCCTTTCTCTCTCTTTTCCCCAGGTGGTCATGAGTCAGAGGCTGGGAAGCAGCCTAAGGAGAAAAGTCAGTGAGACTGAAACGCAGCTTTTGGCTCTGCATGAAGCCAAACTGGCGGCCATCTCAGGTAAATCCCCGCTCAACCACACCCGATCACACCCCTGCACAGAGTTCCCGTCTTTTTATTTACCTCATTTACTTGGATCGCTCGCCATTAGGCTCGCTTAATTGTGCCATTAATGATCAAGGCGCCCATTAATGGGCAGTGTAAGTTTTAATGTCCTGCTGTGGTGCGCTGGTGCAGGTAATGACTTCAGCAGTGCCAAGGAGCTGAAGGCTGAGATGAAGGCCGTTTACCAGGAGCGGGATCGTCTGGAGGTTCTGACCAAGAGGCTGCACAGCCTCAGCTCGGGGAGCAGCCAGGAGCTGGCCAGGATGAAGGAGCAGAGGCAGCAGTTAAGGAAGGAGCTGGAGCAGAGGGAGGCTCTGCACGGTGAGTCACTGAGTTCAGTCTGCATCAAGATCACATGAAAGATGGAACTGGACCGCAGAGTGAAATAGAAAATAATTTACAGCAGCAGATCATCCTCATCACAGTAGTAAAGAGTCTCTCAAGGCTACAGCCACATAGGTTTTTGTTTGAATATTGTGTTTTTAATCTAATACAATTTCTGTTCACATAAGCGTTTTGGCTTCATATCAGTTTTACTCCCTGTGCATACTAACACGCCTGTACATTGGGCATGTGTGTCCTAAAGTATTTTGTTGTTAGTTGCAGGATTGTCTCATATTGCTCGAATAATAGCTTGTGTCCTGCATATGTTAACAGTTTTATCATTTTAAAAGGCAGAATATAACTGCACAACAGGTTTTCACATAAAGAACAGCATCAACAACGCTTGTAATGAATTATCCAGGTTGCGTTATACACTGGTAGCCAAGGCTGATGCCTGTTGTATTCTTGGCCTGACAAGCAACAAGACCCAATCAGTAAGCATTTGTGAGCGTCTACGTCATTGTTTCCAAACATCTCTGTTTCAGCCTGTCTAGACTAAAATGCAGCCCCGGAGAAAACAGTACTTGCAGCATCTTCACACTTTTCAGTGGTTTATATATATATATATACATATATATATATATAGTTGATGCGATTTCAAACAAAAAGATAGTAGTATGGATGCCTAAGGTCAACAAATAATTAAAAAAACACATGCACAATCACCTGAAAGAACAATGCTGCGTTGTTTCACCTGCCCACTTAGACAAGAGAGCATTTGTTGTATTTTTTAAAAGGTGCCTCTTTTTCTTTGAATCCACCTTTTTTTGAAATATCAACTCAAATTTGCTCTTTGAAAGAGAAGTTCTATCTTGATGTTGCTGCACGCTGGGAGGACATCAATGGACGATGACTTTTCTCCCAAACGAAGCAGAAGTGATCTGCTGTCAGCGGGGACTTGGCGTCAAATGATTTGCCAGCAGGATTGGCAGCTGTTAAGAGGAGCGGGTGGAGGGGTTGGTGGTGGTGTGCAGGGGAAATGAGCTTTAGATTGTGTGAAGTAGCCAATTACCTCCAAGCCACTCAGTGCAGACATGGCTCTCTCTCTTTCTCTCTCTCTCTCTCTCTCCAACTCGAGGAGATCTTAATACAGCTCAAAGAGGGGGCTTGCTTTTTAGGGTTGGATGTGGGGAGGGGGTTTGTCCTCCTGGCACTAGCAGAGAGATAAATGGATTTTGACGGCACCACCTGCAGTGCTACTCTCTCTACTCCATCAGTCACAGGGGTATTTCTAAAAAAAAAAAAAAAAAAGGTCACTTCACTTTGTAAGGCTCTGAGACGGGAGCGGTGATGTGACGGGGCCAGAGCAGGTTGTGAGGGTCTGGAGATGGACGCTCTGGATCAGGCGGTGGCTGCAACACCATGCAATGCAATCAGCCATCTAGCATACACTTTGTCATTAAAGCCTGTAGCTGCAGCATCACTATTGGCCTTTGTCTTGTCTGGAATGCACCACCTGCTGCCACTAGGGGGCACTCTTTCATTGTTGCAAGCAGGATGAGTTGCATTGAGTGTTTCTGCTAATGCATGCACTTTTGTTCATGTAATTTCCATGATTTCATATTATTGTTGCAGAAATCAATTCTTTTCACTTGCAAAATCAAATTTGTTTCTTTTCCTTCCAACCGTGTGCATGAAACCCAGTCACCTGCCTGATTTCTGCTGCTGAAGCACTGTCTTGAACACCGTGACAACCGGGGGATAACATTAATCTCCCCCTGACAACCAGCAAAGACACATTCAAGTTCACATCTCTCCTCTAAACACACACAGAGTGCCTCATGCAGAGCAGCGCAGCTCTTGAGGATGCAGAGGCTGGGAAAACCAGTGACACACGAACGCTCCTGTTAAACAAAGAAAAAGGGGGGAGTCAGGTGGGTAACGCATCACAAATGTGGGAAGAGACAGCAAGTTAATGATTGGTTGTGTGTGACTTGCTTAAATGCTCAAGTGGGTGCACACAATATGGCAGTATGGGCGCAATTTCACTATGTGTTGCTGACACCAAGCAAGGGGCTCATTAAACTGTCATCCTTTTTGGTAATAAGGGCCTGGCACATGTTCTCTGGAACCTGATAGCCCACAAACAGCACATTACCATTTCTGTAGCTGGAGGAGATTAGAAATTACTGTCTACTTCAAAGTCAAGATGGCCATCCATTTGGTTTCTGAGGCGTTTCTAGCACATGATAATGACACTGATGACATCTTTAAACAAGATATCTAAATTCCTGTTCATGAAAAACTACTTTCATGGTGTAGAGCTTTACAGCCACAGGACAGGCAGCTATACCTTGACAACATCTCCATGCGTTTACACAGCTTTTGCTTGTTGAGCATCTCCGCCCTCTGGCTGTGTGGGGCGTTTTGGCCTGGGAGCCATTATGTGCCTAATTGCCACATGGCACAAGCACTGATGAATACCAAAGCCATTAAAGCCGCTGGTCTGATTCCCTGCTGAGAGTATAATTTTGTCCCCAAGGGAGATCTGGAGTAAGACTAAATTTACCAATAAATAATTGAGGAGCCGAGTAAGATGCGTAAATGACCCCCAGGAGTGAGGACATTCAAGTGTGGCGGGAGGGTAAGTGTGTGTGTGTGTCCCTTGATTTATCCACGTATTCTTTTAATGCTGCTGTTAGTATGCAGACTGCTACGTATATTGTAGCAGGCAGGTCACTGGGTCTTCAGTGAATACAGTAAATTGTTCGGCTCCAACACATTTAATTAGTGTGCTTTTTTATGTCTTTTTGCTCAATCTCCAGCATCATTCTTTTGTCATACAGCTCCTGCTCCAGTGTGACCTCTGTGCGGGTCATGCAGCCCGTCCAGGTCAATCTCAACCATGCGTACCTATCCAACAACTGAAGTGCACATCAAAATACCGTCACTCTGCATTATTAGACAAATGCTGTTTTCTCTTAATGGAGTGCCAGCGGTAGAGGCGAGGACATATATGATTTATTCATGGCGCTGCCTCTCTCTCAGGGTGCTTCTGTTGAGGACTTGATGGAACGTATGACAGCTCTTCTCCTAAAGAGCGCCTGAATGATTGAGAGCGGTGTGGTGGTTAAGTGGACCCAGGAGGATTTTTTTCGCCTGGTTTTTGTCTCTGAAGTTTTGCCACTATCCATTTTTTCCCTATGATGTCATTTCATTGTGATTGCCAGGAGACTCAGAACGTCCGTACTCATAAGAATGACGACAAAAACAAAGAGAAGTTGATTGAGGCATCACTGCAGGAGCTGCCGTCACTGCATAATCAGTTTCTTTTCTTGAAATCTTTACCACGCAGACGGAGGCAGAGTTTCACTGTGTCAGATCTATCCAGCAAAGTGAAGCTCAAACGTTTGTTTTTAGCCACTCTAGGGGCGACAATGAGATTTCTCAACAACCACTGAATTGAATTCTCATCAGGAGCCATCTACTGGTAGTAAATGGTAAATGCACTGTATTTATACAGCGTTTTTACAGTACATGTTGGTAGTGTTTTTACATAATCATATTCACATATTCATATAGTGCTTCTATATACAGAATCTTTTCCATCACACACCATCCAAACACTGTCTGCACAGACACCAGAGTTTGGTACCTTGCCCAAGGTCACTCCAGAACACACACTGGAGGAGATGGAGATTGAACATCTACCAAACTTCTAGTTGGTAGATGACCCACTCCATCTACTGATCCACAGCTGCGCCTGTTCTGTAATTCTGTTTATGACTAAATACCTAAACAACTAATGACATTTCTTCTCTCAGCCATGTGTTGCTAATTACGCTCATTACCTACCAAGGAGATTATGTTTTCACCCCTGTCTGTTTGTTTATCTGTCTGTTAGTTAGGAGGATTACACAAAAACATTGAACAGAACAGCCATGAAACTTGGTGGAAGGATGAGGTCTGGGCCAGGACTCATTACATTTTGGTGTGGATCTGGATCAGGGGATACAGAATTCTTTACCACTCTCTAACAATGAGTGCAGCTTGAATTTAAAGTACTGGCTGAGGTTTGCACTCCACTGAGAACCATTCTAGTTTAGAAACGGCAACAATCACAGATAATTATTTGGTTCTATTGATTATTTAGATAATCATTTCATTCTTGTCTTACTTTGTCAAGCAAAATAGTTTCTGAAATTTGATGTGTGTGTGAAATTTGGCAGCTTGATTGAATTTGCATGCCATTCTAGTTAGCAAATGCTAACATGCTAACCTTAGATGACACTGTGTGTGTTACAGTCTAAAGGGCCCCAGATTGTTTGAGAGTTCTTCTGTTATTGGGCCTCCCACCAAATCTTATTTTCAGCCCAGAGCAAAAATAAGTTTGGAGTCTCTTCTTGAGTTATAATGACACTGAGCATGTCTAACTTTTCAGTCAGATGGATTCAGCACCCTGAACTGAAATATATACCCACACCTTGCACAGTTTTTGTACACAGAGCAATTTTTTGGGGTGTGAAATGATTCGTTTTGTTGTGCGTTCGTGCATAGCCCCACAATATGTTCCACTGTGTGCTTTGTGATCCTACTGCCTTAAAGCACCGTGGGTTAGTAAATGTCTGTGTAAGAGATCAGCCTGTCCCTCTTCCTCCATTAGCCGTGCTGCTGGGCTGCTGTTAGGTTCAGATGCAGCCATACGTTGAGTGTCTGCATATGCTGACAGTGTGTTTGTGTTACCTGCAGTGCTGCCGCACTCAAACAGCCCGAGCCGAGCTTAAACACATTAATCACAGTCAGTGCCTTAAACTCAGTTACAAAGACACACAATTTCTCTTCTGCCTTATTATGTGCTGGCTTTTATAACACGCATACAGGCGGTGCTGTGTTAGCACGGAGCCGCCCCTAATTTGCTTCACAACATGGAGGCCTCACAGATGTTGGCTGCTTTTATTGTTGCAAGGCAGTGAAAAAATTACTGCATTATTCACTTTCAATTAGAGAGTTGTTTAAATGCTTATAATGCAGCAGCGACTCTAAACACCTTGCCGTCGTTAACTTCTACTGGCTCATTAAAGCCCATAACTTCATCATCGCAAATTGTGCATCAGCGTGCGAGATGGTATCTCTGCTCCATTTGCTTTATCTGTCTACATCACTGATTATAATCATTAGATTCATCATTTTTTTTATCAACTTTACATCTTTATCTCTGAAGTAATTATTTCTTCATTAGACTAATGAATGAGTGTTTTGACCTATGTGGAGCAAACGGCCTCTGTGCAACATCCATTCGTTCTCACCACCTTTCAATGGAGTCTCAGTTCTGTTTGTATTGTGAATGAGTGGTCCTCTTCGATTTTGGCCGGGGTCCTTGGCAACAATCAGCGATGGTTAGCGCCCGCTGAGATCACTGCTGTGAGGGGGGGCTGAGCTCATGAATTTTCCAGCACGGACTCTGTGAATTCCTTTGTGAGGTTCCTTTAACACTGAATCGACTGCCGCATGTATTAGGGGCAAGCAGAGTGGCTGTCTCTTCTTTGTGGGTTTTTTAGTAGCAGTTTTATTCACATGGCCTGCCAATGACAGCCACCTCCCGCAGACTATACAGGAAGTGATAATATCTCCTAGTGCTCGGGTTCCACTCAGCGCAGGAGGAGGCTCTGCCGCTTGATGTCTTGCCCCACTCTATAAAGAAAAGATTATTTTCATCTGTCACGCTCAGAAAGAGGCTCACTAGTTTTGCCACCGGTTGGCATGGCGACAGGATGGCGCTCTGACTCTACCCGGCGTGTAACAGCATCAGCGTCGGAGGAAATATTAAGTTAACGGTTGATACTCTCATGCCTGTAACTCCCATCTTCATCTGCCTTTTCTATTGACTCTTTCTATCCCTCACAATAAGTGATTTCTAAATCTGGCTCTCGCTGTTGTTGGAGCTGTAGACTACTTTGTCTTCTCGCATCTGCACATGCTCTGTGCCATTCAAAGTCAGTCTTAATGCCTCCATGTATTATTCAGTGGCTATCTCCTTGCACGCTTCTTAACGCAGCCAGCATGAATGGAAGTTGACAAGGGAGACTCTGTCAGGTAGGATAGGATCTCACACAGCAATTAGAGGGGTGGTAAGTGAGCTGTCTGGTCCATGAACACTAGATCTGCTCAGCAGATATTTGATAGCAACTCCAGCGGCCTCGTCCCTCTGATTGAGCAAATTTGGGCACTTTGAGAGAAGACGACTCTTTGGCGAGATTTCATTTTCTGTGACACGCACATACAACCTCCAGAAATAGCCCGAATATCTCCAAACTCATTATCTCATTTCTGCACCAAAGTATGGACGAGAATACATGTGTGTATGCATGTGTGAACATATTACTCATGTTGTGGGGACCATTAAACTTTAAGGTGGAGACATTTTATGTGAGGATAAGTTTGGAGTTAGGGAAGTAGTTATGATTAGTCTCCAGTAAAATGAATAAATGTCTATGTAATGTCCTCTGAAGTCATGGAGACAGAAGTGTGTGTGTGTGTGTGTCATTTTCCTTTACTTCCCACTGTGCCAGCTCCCATCCTGTCTCATCTCGGAGCCGAAGCTGTCTAATAACCACCATCAAGACAATGATACAAATTATATTTCAAACCTCCGTGTGATTCAGAACAGCCAATTAGGTGACTTTCTCTCTCTGTCAGCCAGAATCAATGTGAGCGAGCTAAATGGCTTCACACTGGAGTAGCTTCTAAACCATTGTTTTGGCTTGTGTCTCCTTAAAATGAAACAATTTTTGCAGTTTGTGGGGGGATGGTGTTTACTCTATTAAGGTAATATTTTTACTTTATGTTAAATACCCTTATTCTGAGAGTTTGATGAGATGTTTGTTTTAGCAAACTGGTTGCTGGCTGTGGCTCCAAATTTATATTTCCTACAATGTGAAACTGCTGTTTCCCCCAACAAGATGAATGTATTATTGTTTTACAGGATTGAATGGATAAATGTATCCAGTTTTTTGCATGAAAAGTACGTTAGAATATCCGGGTTACTTAAAAGGAAAACAATTCAGAGATATGGTGAAAAAAGTAACAAACTTATGAGCATAAAGTTGTGAGAAAAAAGTAATATTAAGGCTAGGGGGAATTTAAGAGGAACAGCCTGTCATCTGTGTCAAGTTATGAATATGGAGAAATTGCCCCTTTTGTGGAAGAGGAAATGTTTGGTATTGGTACTGTAAGATGTAGGTTGTTTCTTATTAAATTACTGTTTTATTTGTGGTATTAACACTTTATTCTCATTATATTCTCATGACATTATTCTTGAAATCTTTTTCTTCAATGTGGCCCTAATGCTTGTAGAAAAGACTGAAAAAAGAACTGCACAATAAGTGTAAGAATATGTTTTTTAACTCTCTCCTGTCTTGGTAATAATTTCATGTCCTCTCAGATCTATCACTTGACCTCTTGGGGGCCACCGGCCTCCACTGAATCGAACAGGAGTTATACAGATGTTTTGATGGCCAGATTTATTACGCCAGCTTTGTGTGTGTGCGGTGCAATTGGATATAAGTGCATATTATTGTGTTCAAAGATCTGCTGCTGCGGGGGGATCATCTTCTCATGTTTCATACATGAGCTTGTTAACGACGCTCAGATTTGCCCTCCTCTCCGTCCTGACTAACGCTCAGCCAGCCTTCATCTGCCTCCTCGGGCGCAGCTCACTGCTGGCAGGAGGGTGCTGGAAGCAACATAAGCCATGCATCCAACTTTATGCCCCACAGAAAAATCTGGCACGATACAAGGACCTATGCCACAATAGAAATCTCCTTTTTATCCTGCGGCCGTCTCCAATTTTATCCCCTCTCAGAGCAGTGGGAATCATCTTTCTTCACTTGTTTCTTTGTCTGAAAAGAGAGCGGGAGCCATCTGGGCTTTTGTGCTGAACTGTGCTCTTGCAGTTTCTCCCCACAATACCATCGCCAGCAGTGATGACTACCTCTCCTAATAGAGCCCGTGTACGAGATAGCTAATGTCAACGCAGTTTTTAATGGTATTAGAACTGTGATTCGTTGCTAGGTTACGCCATCACGGTTAATAAAAGTAGTAAATGAAGTGCAAGTAACAGACTGCTGTTCTCCCTGTGCTTCTCTCTCCACACAGAAAGCCGACTGAAAGAGAACACCACCAAGTATATTGAGCTGTTGGAGGACAGGCTGCACAGGTAAGTGTTCAGAGACATTTCTCTCCTGTTAGTACACACACAGAGACTCAATATTCCACAGCAAGGGGACATAAACAGAGCAACAGCCTCAGAGGAATTTCCTCTCACCTCTGTTGTCCTCTAATTAGAGCGCTGTCTCCCCAACACATCACCTCATGTACTCACACCCTTCTCTCATGTTGTTGTTTCCCAGAGCCCCTTTCTCACGTCTCACTCCATCTCTCCATCTGTGCACTTTGACCTCCTCCTCCCATCTTTTCTTATATCTTCTGTACCTTTATGTTTTCAGCTCGCATTCCACACACCCCCACCCCCACCCCACACACACATCTGTAAAGCATTTTAAACGAAACACTATCACTTTCTCTGCATTTCATTGTCTCTATCTGCGTCTCCTAAATCAGTGAGGACGTGTGTGTTGTGTTGCGGGTGGTCGCCCATGGAGCCTGTGTGCTGAGTGGCTCTGACTCTTCCAGCAGAGGGCGAGGAACCCAGTGAACTGATGACACCACACGTCTGTTTATGCTTCCTTATGGAGATTGGAGCTGTTTAGCTCGTCTCTCCAGCAGACAAACAGACAGACAGTCAGGGCTGAGCAGCTGCGATGTGATCAACTCGTATTCTGCTGTGTTTTTCTACCATTTGTATTTTACAGAATAGACTTCCATTCTGTCTTCCACTCAGTCTCTTCAGGTCAGGAATCCCTTTGAGCCAGGAAAAGCCTGTATTGTCAGATACAGTGTGTCTGCGTGACCCTTGTCTCTGTTTGTGGAGTGTGAGAGGGGGAGATGTCTGTGTTGCATCCTTGAGAGAGGCAGGGTCATCTCTTTGGATAGGAGCCAGGAGTCCGTTACATTGTGTAGGGTGGTTTATAGGGAAGTGCAGCCTGAGGGTCTCTGTGGTCAAGGGCCAACATGGCTGTGATCTCAGGGCCCAGTAGGGAATCGTGACTCAGATCCTCTTCTGTCAATAGGGCAGGTGGACGCTTTGTTTTTTGTGGTTTTTCAGAGTATTGAATGGGGGAAAAACAATAAACTATCCTAGACAGTAAGGTTGCCATCTTGTGCATTTGGAGCCAGAGTCTGGGCAGTAGTTATTGGCAGATGGATCTGCGGTGGTTAGGTCCCACTGATATACCAGTTTATGCTTGGCCAATCGTGAGGAGTCTCAGCTGTCAATCATGATGTTTCAAGCCATTTTTATAGCATCAAATAAAAAAGAAAAATAAATATTTAGCCAAATATCAGTCAGATGAAAACGATAAAATGACATTATAAACCCAGAAAGCAGGTCTTTTTCCTTCTTCCTATCCTTCCATTAGGTTGTGAGGCTGGAGCCAATCCCAGCTGACATTGGGTGAGAGACGGGGAACACCATCAGTGTGTCACGGGCACAGGTCACAGGGCTGACATATAAAAACAAACAACCATTCACACTCACAGTCCCCCCTACAGGCAATACAGAGTCGCTAATTATCATATCCTGCATGTGTTTGGACTGGGGGAGTAAACCTGACAAATCAGGCACCCACACATGAAGAGAACATGTGAACTCCACGCACAGAGAGACTCTGAATTAAGCTGGGTTCAAACCCAGAACCCTGAACTGATTTTAAACTTGGTGGAGAGGTGGGGTAGGGACCAAGAAATAAATAATTTTACTGCCACTTTTTCGCAAAAGTTCCTTATTCAACAAATAATGCAGAGATCAGGCATAGAGTGGTAATATGAACAGGTGAAATCTGGTGCAGATCCACTCTCTGAGAGCCCTTTTAGTTGTTAATAGAATTCTTGGCCTTGAAAAGAGTTTGAATACTTGATGCATCTTCATCTCCTGTTTTAAAGGAGCTCTTATGTATATTGATGCTCTCTTTCAGTCTCTACTATTATATGGATCAAATGTGTCACACCTCGGCTCATGTTGATCAAAAGAGGGACACACACATGTAACTGAAAACAAATATATTGTAAAGATATAAAAATGAATTTTAGTCAAAAACATACAACAAAAACTAAGGGCTGTAAAAGCAGGCAGGAGAAAAAAAAAGACAGCTTATAATGTCCATGTTGATACTGTGAGTCATGGCGCCCACAATCAAATCAACACATGGGCAGTGAGTAGAGAAAACATTTTTAGATTCATTGTGAAACAGGTGCAGGTCAGAGAACATCAGCTGAGTAGATGGTCCTTCAATGTGGCCCAGCACACATCTGGTCGACACAGCATGAACGTGGCCACATGCGTCCAAAACTACCTCCAAATTTGGTCCTAGTGATCACATCTCACTCAGGACGCTTTTGGGTGCATTCACACAGAAACTTAGAGCTGACCACTCATGATGGGATCACTCAGGACAGGTTTTAAATATGAACAGTGTCACTGAAAAAAGAAACATATAAAAGGACACCGTCTCAGTTTTTGGTAACTCCTTAAGTAATTTACCTGCTCATCACTTTCTGTATTAATGGATTTGCTCTCAAGCATTGGATCAGCTCCCACAACCAGAATAAATCACAAATGCAGCTGTGACTTTCTGGAGAGAATCAGTAGCTTCCACCAGCTCCAGTTTGGTACAACGACACATATTCAGCTTGACTCAATGAACATTCAGGACACCCATCATCCAGTGAGAATTTTAGCAGTCACCTCTAATGTACATTATCGCTGATGGAGTGCAGCGATGACGGGAGGTGAGGAGAGAGGAGGGAGGAGGAGGGAGGAGGAGAGAGGCAGATTAGTACTGGTGAGATGTCTGGTCTCCGTGGAGACGGATGGTGTTGAAAAAAAGCAATTATCTCCTCCTTGCTAAAGACTAGAACAGGATGTTGGAGCAGCGGAGATGCTGTAAGTATGTCACCAGAACAAAACACATTTTATTCAGATTAGCAGCATGGAACAGTTGTTTAATACATTATGTAGATGTTTCATTAGGAAATGCTTCCCCGTTTTTTTCCTACATTTATGCAACCTTCTGTTGAGGGTTAGATGCCAGTCATCACTTACATGGATACAATTCAAACAGTGTCATTAAAATACTAAGACATACTGTTATCCTGTGAAATTGAAGTCACAATAAGAGCATTTAAGCAGGAGAAGAAGTGGAAAAAATCTTTTAATGTCCTAAACCGTGAATGTGTCAAAAAGAAAAAGAAAGTGTTGGACATCAGTTGCTGAAATGGCAGCTGTAAAAACCTCTCCAGACATCAAGCCACCCACCTTACAAATGCTTCACTTCATTCACCATCCATCACACCTCTCATGCAGCAGTCAACACCTTGCATTTCCCCATATTATTAGCACATCCACTCAGCTGGTGTTGTTTGAGATGTTGCGGCACGATTAAGGTGAAAGATTCCCGTCTTTGATTTTCTCACAAATGTGTTACTTTGTGTTTATGGCTTTTGTGTAAACTCAACATGAGAGGCGACAAGTGAAAGTTTGGTTTCTTTTTTGAAGAGTTCAGAGCAAAAACTAACAGCTTAGTCTTAAGGATATGAGCTGTTTGTCACATTCTGTCTGATACTGATATTCAGGTGTGAAGGGTAAAGATGCAGGGGATCCAAGGTGCGTTGAATCGAGGACAACTTGACTTGTTAACTTGAAGCCAGGGCTGGATCCAGGGCAGAAATTTGATTGGCCTCTGAAGCGTCCCTGTCCTGTCAGTAGTTTTTAAAGAAACATTTTTTTACTTACAATGCTATAACAAGAAATCTCAGAATGTGTTTAAATGTTTTCTGAAAAACACAATGTGCTTGATGAAAGTACAGTTCTCAGAATAATGACGTGTGGCTTAGAATCAAAGCTACGGTGCTATCACGGAATAACTTGGTGCAACTGGGGCCCTTTTATGGCCCCCGAAATCTAGCTCCGCCACTGCTTGAAGCCTCTTGGATGAGAGTTGCCGGGTGGCATTCAGTATATTGGTCTGATGGAGTGTGAACCTGCCCTGTGCCTTTTCAGCTCATGGAGAATCTAAGTGAACATTCAACACTTGTATTTATAATCCCTCCTCTGTAGCTGTCTGTGTGCGTATACGTAACGCCTTGAGAAAGAGCAGTCCTGTCAGTCAGCAGTCCCACGGGGGGGCCGAGACACTGCACAAGGAGTTTGCTTGCCTTTCTCATCTCCTTATTACTGGGCCATCAGCTGAGAAGCTCGCCCACACCCTGCCACTGTCAGATGGCGGGCTGAGCGGCTGCCACCAATTAACCCACGGGCGTCGGGTTCATACCGTCGGGCACCAGGACGCCACCATCACAGGGAGGCTTAGGCACTGACATGTAGCCTGAGTTTGCAGCGCACTTAGAGCCAGTGCCAGTTGTCTGTAATGAATTGCGGTTGTTGTCGCTGAAGAGGAGCTTTCAGTGATGGATGAAGGAGGCTTTGACATTTTTAGGGGAATTTATGATTGTTGAACACTGAAACACCACAGAGAGTGATTTATAAGCATGCGTGTGTGTAACTAACACACGTGCCCAAATATGTGTGTGTATGTGTGTCCCTCCACTTCAGAAGAGACAAATAACAATGGCCTGGTGCACTGGCTGCATACCCACTATGGCAGAATTCAGAAGCAGTAGCGTTGAGTAGCAGCTTAGGGTGGGCAGGGGGGCCGGGCCGGGTAATTTTTCTATTGTCTGTTCTCCAAATGAAGGTTAGAGCAGGGCTGAGAGGCGTGCGTTGGCAGTGTACAGAGGTTGGCGGTCTTTTCAGGCAGGAGATGGGCTGGAAAACAAGTGGCATTCAATTTACGGGCGGCCTCGTCGCTGAGAGAGAGATGGAGGGAGAGGGAGATTAAATAATATTGTCTGGGTTCTTTTGTGTTTGTTTACATTTGATGGAGAATGGAGCAATTTCTCAAATCAAACGGCACAGCAGGAACGCACACTCCAGGTGGAATTACTGTTTATATTCTAGTGGCGTATGTTTAAGTATATTTGTGTTTAGAGTATGAAATAGTTTTTCATCGTTCTGAATCACTCAATATGAGACTTAGTGTTTGTGACAGAGAATCTCCTCCTGGGTTAGAAATCCGCAACACACAGAGTCGGAGGACATTTCTACCTTCAAGATGTTTGATGCATCTCATACATATGAAAACACACGTCCTGCTCCCAGTCCTGTCAGCTTTGGTTTGTTTTCTGCACAAGATTTGTGGAAAAAAAGGTTTTTAATGATGAGCAAAGTACAAACAGATTTTTACTCCTGAAATATTTATGGTCTTTAGTGCAAAACTTAAGAATTTTGTGTGTCTCATTGCCCAAATACCCGAATTTCTAAAACTAAGGCAGTGCCTGTTCTAGGCCTGCCTGTTTGGAATGGTCTGTCTGTGGTCATCTGCAGTTATTGAGCAGTGGCAAGATGTCGAGAATGTGCTGTTGTCGTGTTCGAAAGCGTCACTGATGTTGATGAGTCCCAGTCGCCGCTGCTACAGAGCTCTGGTCGTCTGTTTATTCAATTGTCATTAATATTGAAAGTATCACTTGTCAAATCACACATTATTCAACACTGCACTTCCTTGGGGCAATAAGCTGAACAATGCTTGAGATCTGTGAGCCACAGACAGACAGAGAGAGATTTCTGCAAATAGCCGCAAGATGATCAGTTGCTTTGGGTCATGAATTATAAAGAGAAAGAAAAAGAGGAATAAACATGAATATTTTAAAAGGTCAGAGGTCTCACATGTGAGTCTTTGGGGGAGAATTCCATTGAAACAAATATATAAAACCGTTTTTTATAATGCTCCAAAGAGCTGTTTATAGTTCAACACTGTCATCACCATGGTGGACCAAACTGCATAAAAAGCTTTTTACTGTATGGCTCTCAGATGTAGCTGCTAAAATGGCTATCCTCTGTTTATACACTCGGATCTAACCATCATAGATATCACAAATGTCGAGGGAGAGTGGAAGAGAATGCGTGATAAACAAAAAAAGCAATTTTCCCGTCCTCCCCCTGAACTCTTGCTCAGTGACCCCAGCACTGATGAACACATCCAGGCTCTCCCTCCTCTCTCTGCTGTGGCTCTTTGAAGAGAAAGGGCAGCCCACAAAGAGCACATTCAATCTCATTACATTTTGTCAATGGAATTAGAATCACTGAATGATTCATTTCTCCCCCGTCACTCCTTTGTCAAGGTTTTTTATAGTGATGTCATTAGTCCCTCACTGTGCCTGTGCAGCTACTGTGCTCGGTTATTATTCATACAGTTACAGTCATGACATGAAAACTATAACTCAGTCTAGTTTTAGTTTTCTCATATGTCCTATCAGTGTGATCATGATATCTACCCTTATCTATAATCTCTGGAAAGTCACTGCTAATTTGTCATTTTCTAACTTTATTAATATATTTTCAGTCCACATTTTGGATAACACGCTTTAGCATTACTTTTCTTTTTATATACATGTGTAAACAATGATAGTGTTTATAAATAGGCTAATAAATTCAGTTAATAGGTTTCTATACTGTTTATGCTCCTTGTCTTGCTTTGAGTTCCCTGAGAAGACACATATCAGTCTCATGTCTGTTTTTGAACCGGAGGCAGGGCGCGATTATCTTAGATTATCTTAGATTATCTTAGCATAAAGACTTAATAGGAATTAAGGGCGAGGTAGCTTAATCTAGCTTTGTCAACAATATACCTGCTAACACCACCAAAGTTCAATATAACATGTACCTATCTCATTCGTTTAATCTATACACTGACAGACATGTGCCAGACAACGTGTTTTGCATTCCGGTTTGTGTAGAGATTTAACAACTGAGGGCTGGTGCACACTGCAGGATAATCGGGCCCATTTTAGAACCGAGAAGCCTCTTCCAAATATCGCAGGAGTGTTTCCGATTAGAGGCCAGTTGATTATCTGCCCAGAAATCCTAAAGTGTGAGCTGTTTACAAAATAATCTCAGTGCTACCAATTGTATCAGAGCCTCCCTGATCTCGAATTGTAAATACAAACATTTCTGATGTTTTACGATAATTGGCACAGACAGAATTCTGAGCATAAACCTGCAATAGCCAATGAGCAAGCTGACAGGAAGTGTTATCAACCAGATGTAGCAAATCTTATTCCACCTTCTCCGCCATGACTTAATCCTTAGTTAATTCTTTTCTCTCTTTTTAGTTTTTTTAGTTTGCTTGCTGTCATGTTTGATCTCGCACGTTTCTGTGAGAACTCAAGTGTCTGGAGTCACCACTGTGAAATAATTTCCTACAAATGGCTAACTATTAATGTATGAATTCTTTTATATTAAAAACATCTGTGAATTAAATCTAAAACTTTGATTGCATAAACATTATTAATCATAATAATTTCCTTCTATTATATATAAAGTATCTTAGTATTACACAGTATTTTACTGTGTAAGACTATACTTTTACTCTTTAATTTACCTGTTGCACCGCTCTGTACCATAGAGCCTGACATTGTGTTGTATTGCTTTGTTCAGTATGAAGTACTTTTATTCCATCAAACAACATATATCAAACTAATAACATATTGTATCACATTGTATCATACTTGTATTGTATTTTGTCTTAAAAAATGTTGTATATTTTACCAGGCTGGTCTCTTTCTCTGTGCAGTTGTGGATGTCCAGGTTTGGAGCGGATCTGGGAAGCGGACCTGGAAGCGTGTCACCTGTTCCTGCGAGGCCTCCAGCTCCGGACCCCCAGCTGCAGTGGAGCAGTGGACATCGAAGACCTCCCCGCCGCAGCAGTTTTCCCTCCAGTCCAGCCGTGCACCAAAGAGGAAGAAGACTGTGCCATGCTGACTGCTTTAGGGGGGCGCTGGTGTCCTGAAGCCAACTTGCAGAACTCAGAGTTCACTAAGGTAACACAACAATGTCTTGTTAACAACCCACAATGCTCTGTATTATTCATCGGAATACCCATGCACGCATTAGAGAGTGCATAACAGATGTGTGCAGACGGAGAAGATGCATATCTCCAACATAAAAGATTGAGGCGTTCAATCGCTGAAGTCATCTTTGCCACGGAAAGTTCAAACGCACGTTCTTTTTTTTCACCATAGGTGTGAAAAGTGACCTCAGATAAAATCTGCCAGCCCTGACAGTCTTACCACCTAAGTGGAAAGGACATTTTCAGTGCGTACTTTCAGCTGTCGGAATGTAATAGTCTGTCAGCGAGAGTGAGATGAGCGGCAATCTATTAGCACGTTTGCTCGAAGGCATTTCGAAAGCAGGGAAATGTGGGCGTGAGGGAGGCAACCATTTGGAAACATTTTGGCTTCCTTGAAGAGTTTCATTTTGCAGAGCGCAGATTTAAGTTTCTGCATGATTACGTGCATTTAGAGGGAATGCACGTGTGTGTGTGTGAGAGAGAGAGAGACAGAGAGAGAGAGAAAGAGAGAAAGAAAGAGAGAGAGTGAATTCCCTGTGCTGCTCTCAGTGAGTTGAGGTCCACTGCCTCAGGGCCCAGTCCACTCATTCTCTCCTCTCCTCACACTTTCCTCTGCCCACATAGTCTGACACACATGTCTGAGATGGGAACAAAGCCAACAGATCCACCACGAATAAAACTAAATAGCACTCTTGCTAGATTTTGTCTCACAGATTATGATTTAACTTAATATTTGCTGTTTTTCAGCTGTAGTTGAGAATTACTTCTTAGATTTAAACGATTGTGAGATGTTTGTCAGTGGTCTTAATCGCTGCAGCTCCTCTTGCATGTATTCTTTTCTTTGTTGTGTTTAATTCTCCTACTTTGTTGCAGTCTCTTTAACTTCTCACAGCCGTGCTTTGTGCATCCATAAATAAACACTTTGCATTGATGTACTCTGCCCCTGAACCCATTCTATAAACTGCATGCATCAATTTCCTGCTTTCCCTTTGTTTCTCTCTGCTTCTCCTTCTGCTCCCAAAGCCCAGCCCCTCCTAACATTTCTCCGAGAACTAAAAGGTGAGACTGCCAACCTTTTTTTTTGTCTCAGTCCTTTGCGCTGTATTGTGTTTGTGTGTCTTCCAAGCTGGAAAATCTACAGCAAAAATATTCTTTAAATTCTCTCGCCTGCTATACAAAAACAAATTTTACAAGTTTGAGAAAAAAGGAAATCCTTGGATATTTACAGAGCATTAGTGCAAAGCTGCTCAATTCAGACATTTCTTCCAGAAATGTGTCATAATATTACTCACAAAGAGAATCTCTGGCGTCCACGGACAGAGAAGCAGAACCACATCTTCTCATGCTCACAGTGTTTAACATTTAGTTATAACAAAACAATAATTTCACAACTAACGCTGATATGTTCTTTTTGAGAACAAGCACCTAAAGAGAAAAGAGAAGAGATGGAGGATATCGTAGATGATTTGGGGATTTTTAATCTACAATTCATTTCATGCAGAAAATATAAGAGAGAAAAACCTTTTTGCTAGATGTGAATGTTTTCGAAAATAGAAGGAGAGCATTCGATCAGTTGAATGGCAGAAAACATTTTGGCAATCTGCACCTAAAGATCTGCATGTGACAGATGTTATTTGTGTGATTGGTGTCACACTGCAAGATCTCATATTAGATACGAGTTGGAGATGATCGACTGCACCTGCGTTTACTGGAGAGCAAAGCATCCACTGCTGTCATGTTACACAATTTCTAATTAAAAAATAATAACTCAAATTTTGCTGATTGTTATTTGTTGTTGCTCTGCCTCCTTATGTACTTAACCTAAAGCCACAAACAATGTCTTCCTTCTATAGGTATAGTAATTAACTCCTTCCACAGTGAAGAATGTACAATTACATACTTTGAATACTAACAAAGAAACCTTCGGTGCAGATGAGCCAGTTAATCTATTTTCACCCCGTCACTTTTGGTGATGAATAATTACAACCTTTGCTCATTATGATGATGCAGCACACATACAGTACACAGCCGACATAATTGCAGTCTCAATTATTCATGAGCAGATTTACGACTGTGTGACCTCAACATATGTTTTCTTGGTTTTCTTGCAGAAACTGGAGGAGTTTCTGTTCTGCATGGAGGAGAATCACCCAGAGGTTGGTGACGCTAACACTGTCTGTGTGGGTGTGAATGTTATCAGTGTGAATGACGTCTTTTGCATTGACGCTGGGACACAGCAGAATCTATGAGTTGACCTTAACTCAAACATGACCTCTGTACTCTGTTTTAACTGCCTGATCAATACTGATCTACATGAGAAACCTTGGTTGCTGTGGCAGACTGAGTTTGCACAATGTGCTTTATTTATTCAAGGGAGAGTTTTGCTGTGCATGTGTTCTCCCCTCTGCACCTTCCTGCTTTAAATTCATACGTTTATACTCATTCACACCTGGAAGGCAAACGGTACAAGGACACTGACACTTGATAAGGGTGTGTCCTTTATGTGTGTTTGTGTGTGTGTGTGTGTGTGTGTGTGTGTGTGTGTGTGTTTAATCAGAGTTTAACTGTTGGAATTCATCTGCATGTGAACTTAATGCTTTAATAAATAATACGTTTATGCCTGAAGCATGAGTTAGAGCAAACAATAGAAGGAAAAGTCAGTTGATAACAACCATTTATGAGAATGTGAAAGCTTTATAGTTGCTGCTTGGAGCTAATTCAATTTTAGTTTAAATTCAAAATGCCCAGTAAATTAAATTGTTTGTGTTCAGTTAATTGTTTAAAAAAATCACTTAAACAAACCATGAGTCAGGCTTATGAACTAGTATTCTACTATTATAGTGATAAACCTGCACCATTATGACCGAAAGGATTGATTGAGGGGGAGCAACAGTATCTTGCCAACAAATGCACATGTATGCAACCCGGAGTCACATTGAATGATGGAAAAACTGATATGAAATGTTTCAATCACAATAAACCGTGATGCATCGCTGCGTCAGATGATACGATGGCTGTTAAATGGTGTCTGTAACTGGATGGTGTTGTGATCGCCTTGTGGAGGAGTTGGATTCTCTCCCTTGCAGAGCATCTGACCTCCTTATCCTTTCCTTAATGACTTTAAGTAAATGATTTCCACTTAGCCGCTGCCAAGCGGCTGCCCTGCTACCACAATGGAGATTGATTGGTGTGCGTGCAAGTCTGTGTGTGTGTGTGTGTGTGTGTGTGTGTGTGTGTGTGTGTGTGTGTGTATGTATGTGAGGAGCTGCTCTATTTTCTTCTAATCTCTACTAATTGTTCTTTTATCCTCTAAAGGTCCGTACATTCCCTTCTTCACACTGACCTGCAGAGCCAAACAACAATGGAGACATTAGGAAACTGAAATGGCTTTAAAGGCTTTTGTTTAGACGTGTTAATCAGGTTGTTTTGATGTTAATGCCGGTGGATTTAAATCAGCCCTTTTTGAATGGTTGACAAGAGATGATTGCTGTGTCACAGTTGCATAAGCTCATTATGCACAAAAGCAACAATATAACGCATCTTTCAATAAAAGTAGTAATTTATTTGAAATATTATCTCTGATGCGTGTATTGTGTCATGTCCTGTTAGTAGAACAAAGGTGAGGGTCATTTCTTGTTTAGTACTAAAGTAGAAAAACAGGAAATAAAAAAGTAATGAACATACTGAGTCTAGTTAGTGTGTGTATGGAAGTGGGTCAACAGCTAACAGCTCATACTGTTGAAACATCTTGTAGCCTTTCGATTACTAACTACCAGACATGACTTAATCAAATGCTAGTTAATTTCCTCTCAAGCCCAAAATGAATTCAGCTACTTTATTGTTTTATTAAAGTAATTATGACCTAATGCTGATACAGTATTATCTCTTAGTGTTGCCCGCCCGGTGCCAAGTGTCGGCCTAACAGCACCCATGTGAAAACATGCAATTACCTGCTGCCTCTTACTCATTATTGCTTAAATATCCGAATATTTAATCTCTAAATAATTTGCTCAGCTTCATGCCTCTGCAGTCTGCTTTGTTCACTTGTCGTCTAATAACATCAACACGCCAGCACATGTATGGCTGATGGGCTCGCATTGCGCAAATTGACATGATGAAATCTCATGTTGTCTTATTTGTTGAAAGCAGAGGGAGCAGAGAAAAGTCATTTGTGTTGTTTTGATCACCAGCAGGAGCACAGTAACAGCTTTTCAATAGTTTGTGTGCCAGATTTTATTCTGTGTACAGTGTTGCTAACAAACTATCAGGGCTCTTTGTAAAAGTGTCATTCTGCACAGAGAGCTTTTGTTTTCTATCTCGCGGCTGTATTGACTTAACAGAAGCTGACTGGAGGCTGTAATGTATAGAATCAATCCGCCAAACAAATACAACACCCTTATCTGCGGGGGAGATGCCTCTAAACTTGGCAAACAAACAGCTCAGTGGATCTATAAATCGACTGTCTTTCCTCTCAGAATGGACGGACAGGGATCCCACAATCACACACACCTGAGGAAAGTGTTTGTGACCCCTTGTTCACTTACAGTAAAAGACTCTATATGCACAAAGACAACACGTTTTCTATAAATCTTACATGCCCTGGGCTGCTCTGCCTTTGAGTCCTTGTTAATTCCTTAATTGCATCAGGGATGACTTGTGCATGCCGCCATGCCTCAGGCCTGTTGTTTTGTTGTACGTATCTTTTGGGGTGTTACATCATGCATAGAAGGAGCTATTACAGGACAGAGGACCACAGACGCGACTTCCCGGTGATTGTTCTGACACCACTGAGCTGCGGGGAGTTGATATTTCCTACCTGCAGCCATGAGTCAGATTAGACTTTCTATGTGTTGTTTGACGAGAGCGCTGGGTCTGGGTGCGCATGTGTGTATGTGTCTGTTTGCTCGGAGTGTGTAGTGTGTGCTCCTTTGTGTGTGTTTGTGTCCTCTGTGCTTGATAAGTGTGAAGAAACTAGGACACGATGTCTGCAAAGGGGCCTGCTCCAATTATGGCCGGCTCGGCTCTGTGAATGCTTTGCCCTCTGCTCCTCCACCAACCTCCAGTATACACTCAGCTTCCCAGTGTCCTCAGGTGATCTGCAGGGACGCTGCCAAATGCTGTACGCACGCACACACACCATGGGGTTTGTGTGTGTGTGTGTGTGTGTGTGTGTGTGGTTGTGTACATTATGACCTTGGTGCTACAGAAATGTTGGTGTCCTCATATGTTGCTGTCCAGCTGTTTTCCACTCAGAGTGAATGATTTAGTGTGAGTGAGACAAACTAAGTCCAGGAAAACTCTGAAAGCTCTGACTCATGGTTATTAATGGTGACTTTAGACTTAGTGACTCAAGACTTTATTCATTATTCATATATAATATATTTACATATGTATATGCAAAGTTCTTGGGTGCACTCAAAAAATAATTTTTGATTTCCATGTAACTTTATTACATAAGTTCAATATAAAGAGGCACATTTAAAGGTACAGTGTTTAGTGATATCTAGTGTTGAAGTTGCATGTTGCAGCTGAACACCCTTCACCTCACCCTCTCCTTCCAAACATGAAAAAGAACCTGTGGTAGCTTCAGTTGTCATAAAAACTCAAAAGGTGTTTAGTCTGTCCAGTCTGGACTAATGTAAAAAACATGGCAGTCTCCATAGAGAGGGTCCCCTCGATGTAAATAGAAAGTATTTAAATATAAAGGGTCTTTTCTGGGGTAAAGAAAACTACAATTCATACAATTTAGATGAAACAAACTAGTGAAAACATCATGAGGAGGATTTTACATTAAATGTCTGACAATGGATCCCTTTCACCTAAATCTTACACACTGGACCTTTAAGTGTTGTTGAGTTGGTTTAAATAAATCAAATAACTTGAGTGATTTAATTCAATGAAGTTTAACGTATACATAAATATATACATAAACACAATTCATTTCATTATACATAAAGTCAGTTTTTCAGGCATAACTCATTATTTTGACTGTGTTAAAATGGTTAATACCGACTTTAAATGTGTTAAGTTTGTTGGTTTATATAATTTAAGATGAAACACAGCAAATAACACAACACTGCTACAAGAGTTGTAGCACTGTGGCACTGTTCAACATAATTTATAAGTACAAGTTTTAGATTATTTTCTTATGAGATTGTACAAGATGATGGTTGTGACACAATGTTTTACAGCGGGGATCTTTGTTATGTATAAAAAAAAGCACAGGACGCACTGGGCTCTGTTTTAACAGTCTCAGTGCATGCAGCACGATTTAGCGGATGTGAATGTTAACCCAGTCGTCTGCGAAACTGTCAGAGATCTGACCCAGGGTATCTTTGGTTGCAGCAGCCATCTTTGGACCTCTTACAGTGCAACTTATGATCAGATATCCCCATGTTTCTTTTTTGGTCATCTTTCGTCTAGGATGTGTTGTGGGCAGGTGTTAACCTGTAGGGCTGGGTACTGAAATCCGGTGATAATCACACAGCGCTTCCTACGTGACTGACTTATATTCACCGAATCCCAATGCAGTGCCTCATTTTGGTATTGGCCCTAGTGGTGGGGAGACGTGATTTTCTTATGAAAATGTTTTAATCTCTTAATAGTTAGTATTTTGAATTTCAACTTCCAATTTGCTGTAGCATTAAAAACAGCTATTCTACCCAGCCCTGTTTCCTGCGTTTAGATTCACCTCTGTGTTAATTTATTCAACAATACCAGATCCATGTTTGTACATTATACAGGAACCCCTGCAGCTCTGTGTGCTACTCTGTACCCATCATTTCATCCCTTGTTTCCTCTTCCTGCCAGGACGGGTGCAGCGAGGCTGAGGCTGCAGACCTGACAGAGCGCTGCGAGCTGATCAGTGACAGGCTAATGACCTTGGAAGATGAATTGCAGATGGCCATACTAAACCGGGATCAGGTCCTCACCCATATCCTTCCACTGCTCTCTGAATTTCCATGTATCATATAAACTGTACACTGTGTGTGTGTGTGTGTTCCTGTCTCCGTTCATCCATCTTAAGGACCTAGTTTCCTCAAGGCCTTCACGTCCACGCTTCCTTTAGGCTGACTGATGCTGGCTTTCGGTGACTTTACCTTTTGAGGAAAACAAAACAAAACACCTGTCTTATCTGACATTATGGGTCCAGTCGGGGAGGGAATTGAAAACAATTGGGGATCAGAGGATTTGTCTTGACAGGTTGGACGTGCCCCTCTGGAAAATGAAATGGTTAAAGTCCAAGCAAGGTTATTAGAGTTCCGGTGATGTAGGCTGCCAGTCACCATGGGCTGAGATTAAAGTCGGCCAACAGAGGCAGCACTGCAGCGGATGAAGGAATGTCAGTTTAATGACTCTGCTCACGTCATATCTTAATGTCCATCCGTTTGCTGACCCTCCCTTCCTCTCCTACCCTCCCCCAGCTTCCGTCTGCTCGCTTCCACTTGCCGTTGCCGGCTCGGAGGAAATTACAATATCCATGATAATGATTCAAATGAAACTGTTGAGGCTGATTACAGGTCACAATACATCATTTTCCGTGCTAATTAGAACGCTGATTGGAAATAGATTAGTGTGTTTTTCTCACTCCACTTTTCCCCCTCTACACCGCATGCTTATTAAGACAGATAGAGAAGGTGATACTTATATACAGGGATGGAAAGAAATTTCCACCTGACTTGCAGGACTCTATTTTCTGTCGCAACTCGTTCCTCTTCTTCGTTCCTCTGCCTTTCCAATCTGCGACGAAATGATGGAGGTTTATTTAACCACAGCATCTTTAAAGAAGCCTCACACAATACTTCCCTCACTCCATTCACATCTGATTAGAGATTCATGTCCTTCCCGCTGTCCTGTCAGGGGTCAGTGCAGGCCCCTCCACTGCTGCATGATATCAACACAGCCTGGCAGTTGGAGATGGACACAGATTGCTCTTCCTCTCTCCACCTCTCCGTTTCCATGTCCTTGCATGTCATTCATCTCGACTTTTTTGAAGTTGAGCTAGTCTTTGCTAAGCAGAAAGCGCCATGGACACTTAAGTGCACTGAAGAGACGGAGCAATTTTGTGATTGTGTAGCAGAAATTGAACGGAAACCGAACGAGGAACAACGCTGCTGTTGCCATAGTGACAGGAAGATCAAACCTCTCGTCTCTGAGGGTCCTAATTGAATCCTCGCTCTCGATACAAGCAGGTGGATGGAAAGCACAGGGTTGATGAGGGTTGAGAAAAACATGGATATGTGAAATTTGAAGTCTTGAGCCATTCTCAGTGTCCACACAATTGGGTCCGGACTTTGGAGTTTATCTTTCACAAATGAACAACACAGCAGAAGATTTCACAGTCAGACATGTCACAACGACAAAGAAGTCTGCTGAGCATTGTGGCAAGGGGTGGCACAGCATGCAGGACGTAATGTATAAGAAATATCCTCAATAATGAGCAGTGACTCCTCTGGATAATCTCCTGCTGTGTTCTCACATGGGCTTACTCAATCATTATCCAGAGTTTTTTACTAGGCTGGCAGGAGAAACTCTGGAGTATGTCCACAGAAACTGACTTAGACATTTACATTCTCACATCCCAGATAGCCTACATATGTGGGCCACTTCAGGCAATGGTGCATAACTTCAGGCCTTCTTATGGATTTGAGCCTAAAGTTTCCCACAAAAAAAATTGTGGCCCAAATACCTCAAAACAAATGTAGGCCATTTGGTAAATAGTGGCTATCATTCCACGCTGTATGTGGGCCAGGTGGCAGGGTGGCAGTATGGGCCAGATATGGGCCAAAACAACTTTGCTAAATGGGATATAGCCCCTCTGGATAATTTCAGGAGATTATCCGAAGTTCAGTGCATGTCTGAAAGCAGCTTCGTTGTTAGTTTTAAAGCATTTTCCAACATAATTCTGATTGTAATCGTCCCATTTGGATCATCTTGCCTTAAAAAGTCTTGTAGAACCCACTGCAGTATTCATGAAAAGCTTTTTAACGGCTGGTTAATTATGAATGAGGACAATCTGTGTCCATTCAGACAGTAAAACGAGCCATCAGGCCCCATCTGCCGTCAATTCCGTCCCTTTGATTTTTCCACTTAAGTCGGACACTCACACGATTAATTTGAGTTTCTAAGCAGGTTAAACAACCCCCCCCAAACGATGACAGCCTCTATCCCGTTTCATTGATGGCTCATGAATTATTTAGCTGGGCAGTCTGTTTGCTTGGGTCTCCACACACTGCCACCAAGCCCCACAGATGAGATGAGCTCATGAATAGTGAATTGCTTAAATTGGGTATGACTTGATGATCTGTCCCAGTAATCCGCTTGGTGACCAAATTGGAGATTGATGACTTCATCAGGTCACAGCCATTACCATTAACCACTGAGGGCCACAAGTGTCACTTCTTCCCTCATATTTGTCTTCTGGCATGCTTTTTATTTACGTGCACGTGATTCTGTGACTCTCACCGTCAGATTCTTCCCTAACTCGCTCTGCACAGTCCCTTGAAAAAGAAGTTCAGGAGGTGAAAGCCACTCTGCAGACCATGCTCGTGCAGCTCAAAGAGGAGGAAGAGGAAGGGAACGAGTTAACAGACGATGACCTCATGGAAAATGGGATTGAGGAGGAAGAAGAGGAAGAGGAGGAGGAGGAGGAGGAGGAGGACCAGTACTTCAGTGACAGCTGGGACATTTGAAATGGATGCCTGTACTGTTTTATGACCACTCACACACAGACCAACTCTCTGAGACCCTGACCCCGGCTTTGCAGTCGAAGTGACCCCATATCCATTAACTATACAGCCTCCCTCAAAGCGCTTTACAACCAGCCTCTGTGGTAACGTAGAAAGTTTCCACTACAAGTCTGTGTGACATTTTATACACAAACAAAAAAAGGATTTTTTAAATATATTATAAAAAATAAGGCACTTTAATGCAAATCCAGTCGTTCCTAGCCTAAATATGAAAGAGTTCTGTAGCTGAGCTGACATGATGATTATTTCAAATGTGTTTTTGGATCCATGTTTAAGCAAATAAGTGTTTTCTTTTATTCAGTTTTTAACGTCGAGTATTGGGGTTATCTTTATGAAAAAACATATTTTAGGAATGAAGTCCTAATATCTGAGAATTAAATTGTAATTTAGAGGAAACTCTTAATATTACAAGACTGAAGTAAAGTTATTGATGTAAAGTCCTAAAACACAAGGTAACAGTAGTGCTTAGGGAGAAAACCATACAGTCAGTGCACAGACCCAGTAGTATCAGTTACACAGCAGTGTAACTATCCAGTGTTTGCTAATATTAGCCATCATAAATTACCTAAGGATTTCTGTTTCACCAAAACCCCTGGGCTGGATTGATTAATGAATGGTGAGGTGCATTTGTTATGAACTTTGAATTCATAAATTCAAATCCAAATCCAAAATTAAAAATTTTATTCAATAAAAAACTGATGACTCCCTGCTGATACCAGTGAATCGGGCCAAGTAAAGAACAATGTAAACATATTTTACATTCTTGCACATAAACTTTATACTGCTCAATTTTTTACGTGTTTTCAGTAGAATTTGACTTTAATTACATGTAATTTTGTGCATTAAATATCATTTGTGGTGCTACAGAATGTGAGCTAACTTGAACACTTTATTTTTGTGTGTGTGGAAAATGCAATATTTACATTTTTGTTCCCTCCCTGTCTTAAAGCAGTGTATCATTGAATAGATGCTCTGTACTTTAAAATATATCAGTCACATTTGTGTCTTATACATTTATATATTAAAAAACGAAGGATAAAATATGAGTGGGCACATAAAATAAGGATTTGCAACTGCTGTTTTTTTGTCATTATGTTTTATTTTATTTCATGTCAGCTCAGAATACACTTGTTCATTCCACTGGGCGTCAATTGACTTTTTGCCAGAAACTGTTTTGTGCTTTCACCCATTAATCCCTTTTAGTTTTTTTATTCACTGTGCATCTTGGAAGTGGATGTATCATAAATTTATTCCATACAACATCTCACTAATTACAGCATGTACCATTCAGCCTATGTTGTTTCCTGCTGTTTTCTTCTTGTATTGAGCTACTACCCCTCTGGTGATTTTCCCTCATATAAAATGTGCGGGCATGCTGCCAGGCGAGTGAGGGCAGTGGTGACATGTAGGAGATATCAATACGGTAATAAAGGTTCTCTAGTGAGCTCTTTGGGGGATACATGGCCCTCTATTGTTATCTCACCTCCGCAGCGGCGGTGTGGCTAATTGGGAGGCGGCTCCTCAGAGCACATGGCGGAATGGTGTTGCTTTGTCTCCATCTGATTCTGATTTTTTCTTTGGGAGCGGGGGGCTATTGAGGGATCTGCAGAGGCGTATCAGCCGTCTTGCGCTCAGGGCTGTAAACACAGCTGAGTGCTCAGGGTTTTCCACATGCAGCACAATGGGCCTCTCTCACATTACCGCCAGGTTGCAAACCACTTGCCAGGCCAGAAGTCTCTACATCGATCAGCCTCGGGCGGCGCAAAGACATGGCCTACACCTTCCTGCCAAACACCCCTACCTCATAATTGAATCTGTGCTTGCACCATACTGTGCCCCGTGTGGCAGCTCAGCTCATAAAATGGCCACAGAGAAAATGATTTTCAGTAGACAGGTACACTCACTGTAGCAGGGGGAGAGGTTTCGTAAAGCCAAAACGATGCACTTTGCAGCTGAGGGTCCTTTGTCTCATCACATTATTTGAATCTCTTTTCTTGCCATACATTTTCCATCTGCCCCTCCCAGTTGCTGTTGTTCTTGTCGTGCTTTGTGTTCTTCCATGGGAAAATAATATGATTTTTCATGTTAACCTTCACTCCCATAAAATAATAATAATAAAGATATGCAATGTTCCTGGCCTTGGATTTGACACTATAGGATACTACAGTAGGTACTAATCTAGTTAGCCACACATGCTAACATTTGCATACACAAACACACACACACAAACACATTGCTAATCAACATTTTTATTCTGTGGAAAAGATTAGTTTTGTAAGAAGTGGGTTAAATGTATTGATTGATCGATTTTGTATATGCACTAAATCATTTAATCAATAAATATACTGATTGGCACTGAGGTGAGACAAATTGACATCCTCAAGTACAAACTGATTTATTTGAAGAATTTCCATTTTTCACTTCAGAGCTCGTCTGAATCCGCCTCAAACTAATGAAGAAAAGAGAGACGGCTGGAAATGAATTTAACAACAGCAAATGACTTGCAAATGCAAGTGATGCTGCTCCACCCCCGTGTTCGGATGTTTTCTCTGGATTTATGAGACATATTTCTCAACTGGATGTGAATGAATGGATTATTTCAGGAGTGTGTGTCTCTGCTGGGGGGATTTGGGTCTGGGATGGGGATTTGTTTATTTGATTCCCGCTGAGTTGTTCCGTTGTCTGACAGGTACATGTACAAACTCTCTGAACCATGGGAGAATCATATATTGTGTTGCAGCTTTTCCTCTCGCATCACTTCAACCAGGCTCACAAACACCATTAATGAATGCAAATTGAGATTTTTTTTAGTAGTCGTGTCTCTCATATCCTCAGAGATTCCTGTATCCTCCTCTGCAGCTGACACCTTTGTTATGTGTGAGCAACTGTGAGCCTGTCAGTTCTGGTCATTGAGTCAGTGAAGTTAACTCTCCAGAGACGTGTCTTTCCACAAAGAAAAAGTGGACACTGAACAAACCACTGTCTGTCACTGGCCTTTTATTCAACTCTTTTTTTTCGGGTTCCTTCAAATTGAGTCCGCACTTTACCCAACCACTGAATAAATTCAACATAGTCATTAAACCAGGAGGAAATTCAAGTGGAATTAATAAGCATTTTGAATCATTTAACTGAAACTCCTTCCAACTCGGAATCTGCATCTCTCTCTTAAAACCCATAGAGGAAGCAAATAAAAAAAACACAGCAAATAGAGCAGAGATAACAGGAAATGGCCTCCCTTCTTCCTGTGGTTGGCTGATGTTGAAAATCACACTTCATTATACACTCTGTACCAGTGGGAGCTGCAGGCTCCTTCCGAAGAATACATATTTCCATCACTTATGGTTGTGTGAGAAATGACAGGATTGGAAGAAAATAATCTCAGAGACGCAAAGTTTATTTTCATCTTGATTCTGATGTATCTGATTTACACCGTGGACTTAAAGATGAGAAGGAGCAGTTTGAAAGGAGTGTTTGTGCAACATGTGCAGAGAGAGACTGATTTTCCAGGAAATGACTCATTTACATATTTAATTATACAGACTGAACTTGGAATAATGCACAACCTGCATATGAGCAGCAAGAGCCCCAGGAAAAAATAACAGAAAATCACATTTCCTATTAAAAGATCTGTAATTATTCTAGCACATGGTGTCTGATGGGCTTTAGTAACAAGAGTCTGTTAGTGCTGTGGACCACTGTGTGTGGACTTTGATACTGAGGAGAAAAACAAGATATAGCACAACTGTGACAATAATAAGCTCCCACAGCCTCACTCCAACTTAATACAATTTAAATAGAAAAACATACATCACAACAGTGATTGAACCAATTGCTGATGTTTCACATCTCATTTTCCTTGCAGTGGTTTCCCAGGACGACGACTCTCACTTGCAATAAGTGATGTGCATTATTATGTGAGTTTCAAATTAGTCAATAAAGTATTCTGCAGTACGCATAGAAATAACAGGACGTTTGAACAGACAGAAACAATAAGGAGCTCTATAGGTGAGTGGGCTGTCCTGTACACCCTTAACACAGAAATATAAATCCTGCAAACACATAGAAGATAAATAACAGTTAAATGTATGATTTTGTTATGAATTTGTATGAGGTCCTTGTTGCGCCCCTGCACACAGGCAATAGTGTCACTGTGCTGAAGATCCTTTCGTACAAGTCAAACATACTACATTATCTATATCAGGTGCTGAAATAGTTTTGGATGAATCTGGTTACAAGACAAATATTTCAACAGTGTCTCAGTCTTTGTTTAATCCCAGTGTCAGACTGCTCTGAACCGGCCTCCTCAAAGGCAATTGCTTTGAAAGCTTAAGTTTGCTTCTCTGCCCAAAAACCATCCAAGTAATGAGATCAGTGTCAAGAGGAACTCCAATTTGTGACAAGACAGCAAATCTCTTTAAAAAGATTTCCATGTTCTCCTGTGAAACATCACTGTCAAATCTTAAAAAAACAATGCTGACAGAGTTTTTGAGGAAAAAAGGGGGTTTGACTCATTTTGAGCTGAGCTGTTTGTGCTGCTCTCTCATGTGAAGTATCAGTAGAGGGGTGGGGCAGACGTTCTTGTAAACAGGCAGTGGAAGCAACAGACAGCTGATTATTACTTTAATATCAAAGCTGTAAAATTGAAACTCCTCGAGGAAGAGTGCCTTCATTTAGATTTACAGCACTTCCTCCAAGAAGCCCAGCCACTGGTTCACCTTGAAACGTCCCTCGAGGACACGGCTGTCACTTGGAAAGCTGAAATATCAGGGCGGCTCTGCCATCCTTCCCACTTAGTCTCAAAAACAGACAGGTACCACACCAGGGGGAGGCAGGATCGATAGACATGATGGATGGAGCTCCCTGCCTTTAGCAGAGGGACTGGGGGGACAGAGGGGAGGTGAGAGAAGTAATGAGAGCTCCTGGGAGCGATGGGGAGGTTTTTGCCATGGGAGGCTGGACGCATGGCGCTCTTTCCTTCCACTGGAGCTGCCAGTTTGGCCTAATGAGACATAGAGGAGCTCCTGTCCTGGAGAGGCAGCTGGTGATGTGAGATGCTGCTTCTCTGCAGTCTGTGTGTCTGTCTAGACCAGCCAGCACCCACAGGGGACGAGGAACAGGAGATGTGACTTGACAGTATGTGAAGTTCACTTTTTTGGGTGTGGTTCTCATTCCAGGAATCAGCCAGTTGCTTTATCTTATAATGTCTTCAAATACAAACTTATCTCAAACTAATTTGAAAACCTCACATCGCAGACTGAAAGGGGAACACATTGTGGAGGAACAGACTTTGGTGTTGGTGACGGTTGTAGGCCGTCTTTTTTATTTTTAAAAAACATATCTGACCATTTCTCTCAGTTAAACATTCCAAATGGTTAGAGCTACACTAACCAGTATTTGTATTTTAACAGTGGATCATTCGTAGTGAGAGATTTGTAAGGAGATGCCACCCTCTTTAAAAATCCATCCCCACAGACAACCTGTCAATTCCGCCACCTCTCTATGTTGCTAACTAAATTGTGAGATCTGCAGGTTATCTTAAAAATTCAAAACCAAAGTAGTATCATAAAAAGGAGGGCAGTGCTCTTTGCCTCACTTTCCCTCTCTCTTCCACAAAAACACATGGGCTGCCCCTGTCAGATTAAAGCAGCACCAGGCGAATTTCTGCCAATGTCATTGGCATATGTTCTCATTTATGCACACACACTTGTTTGCAGCTTCATTGAAATAGGTCCGGTAGTTCTCATGTAATCTTAAAAAACCAAACAACTATACTATGGTGTGTAGATCTATTCTTTGTGGGCCCATCCTAATGCTGTTGGTTTCTAAGTTGCTAATTGAATGCCATTATATTTCCCCATTGTCATTCAAAAAGATAATAGCATTTAATTCAGAAGTTTGTTTGAAGTGAAAGCCTTTCGGCAAGCTAGCAGCTCCCTGAAGTGATACTTCACCCAAAATCGTTCTTTAGTATCACACTCTGTCCCTGAGGGCTTCACAGGAGGCTGTAAAAAGTTTCTCATTTGTTCCCTCATGAAAATCAGCAGCTCTGTTCATCTTGGATACATGTGACTTACAATAGATGTGAATAGGAACACTAACCCTTTGCATCACCAGTCAGCACAGGCCACCCCTCCAGTTATCACTTAAACAGTTCCATCAAGTTTGTTCAGGAGAGACCTACAGAGAAACAAATGAGAAAGAGTAAGTTATGAATGCTTCTGGTTGGATGGTTTGAAGGCAGATGACCTGATATCCAGAGTTGAGGTGGGCCAGGGTTGGAGTTGCATCACTCATCGATCACGGTACTGAATGACAGGGGAGAGAGAGAACATTTTCAACTTTGACAGCTTACAGATGATTCTCTCAAATACAGCGTGTCAGGTTGTGATTGGATGTCATAGATTTACACGCAATCTTCCAGCGTGTCTGGCTGAAGGCAGTGCACTCATGTCACGCTATTGCCCTCGAAGCTCCAAACCTTCAACAGAGTTTAATTTTGTGATGAGCTGGATTTGGCTCAGGAGGTAGAGAGGCAGTGGTGGAGCTATGTTTCTTCAAAATCAGGGGCCACAATTTACAGAGAGGGGGCAGCTATGTTTCCGACCCTTCCTTGTTTACTTTTAGCTCTATAGCGTTGAGCAAAACCACACATATATATATATTTTGAAAATTGTTCCGTTACCAAGCTCATCGTCTACTTCAAAAAAGCTTGGAAAAATGATTCACAAATAGTCATATTTATTGTTGGTATTTTTAAGTCAGTGATTTTTTTACACAAACAAAAAAATACTGACAGAACAGGGGTCTATGAGATTTCAGCTGGGACCAGTGCCTCCCTGGCATCCACCCTGGATCCACCCCTGCAGAGAGGGTCGTTCAGTGGCCAGAGGGTCGTTGGTTCGATCCGCGGCACCTCTGAACCCAAGGTTGTCCCTGACGGCTGTTTCTGATGGTGTATGGGTGGTGTGTCGTGGCAGGAGCGCTGTGTATAGAGGTGTGATAATATGTGCGTGAGTGGGTGAAGGCAACTGGAAAAGTGCTTTATAAATACAGTTCATTAACCATTTAACACAATGCACTAAAGGACAGTATAGAAAACGCTACAGATACTATAGATTACTGGCTTTATCTGTGTACAGCTTAACTTGCTAATTTAAATGAGTCTATTCAATTTTCATATAATGTTTTTATGTACTTGT